AAAAAAGTAAGTATTTATCAGTAACTGGGTGTCGTTACTTCTTTAATTCAGAATTGAATCAGAATATCGACAGAAGGCTGTTTTACTGAATACTAAAGTTGATGCAGTGTACAATAAGCTCACATGCTTGTTCCGGAATATGTTGTTACGGACATTGACGATTGCAATACCAGTGTCTTTAATGTATGCATATTATTTATATAAGAATGTGTAATAAACTGAAGATTAAGAGAAATAAGAAACACTGTTGTTAGAAACTGTTTAGATGGGTTCGTAGCCCATTTGATATCTTTCCACTCTGATTTCCATTTTTTCTCATTTGTTTACTGCTGTATTCAGTTATGCTACGCAGAGCATTTGGGCATCCACGCTACTTGCTCCTTTCTTCTGAAAATTCATCAAGAGAAGAACTTATATGTAAGTCAATACGGAAATGTTTCTTAAACCGCTTAGACAATCATAGAAGAAAGAGCTCTGGAAAACCTAAAAGAGTAAGTATTCATCCGTAACTCGGTATCGTTATTTTTTTTCATTCAGGGTTGAATTCGAACATAAACAAAAAGCTGATTTACTGTTAAGAAGGGCGGAAGAGGTGGACCGGAAATCGATACGTAGGATTAGATTTTTAATTTTACAAACGTTAATATTCTCCATACTCGTTATTTTTTCAAGTTATGCATCGAGCTTCTATGATCAATTATCCTAAAATAAAAATTCCAAATACACTGGTAGATAATATAGAACAAAAAAATGAATAGAAGGTCCAAATTGTGAGCCGCTAACGCTGGTCTCAGTTTTTTACAGAAGATATAGCAATGTAATAAGTTATTCATCTTCTGTTGTTTATTTGATCTTCTGTTGACTTGTAACATTTATAAAAGATAAAATGTGTTTGAGATATACTTCGAAGATAGGTTCGTACCTGATTTCATTACTTTCCAATCTGATTTCCATTCTCACTGTTTTGTTCATTGCTGTTTTCAGATATGCTGCGCAGAGCTTTTCTTCGAAACTCGTGGAACTTCCGACAAGCTACTAAGCGTTCTTCAAGGAAAGAACTTGAATGTAAATTGATTTGAAAAGTATTCATGAAACGATTGGAGGATCAAAACAAAAAAGCTCAGGAAGATTTGAAATTGTTAGTTTTTGTCAGTAACTGTGTATCGTTATTTTTTTTTTCAGGATTGAATCCGAGCATAAGAAAAACGCTGATTTACTGTTAAGAAGAGCCGAAGAGGTTGACCATAATCTGTTGCATTTGATCTAAGGTTTGTTTTTCAGTTATACTAATGTGACAAAAGTAAATTTCAGAAGACCGGGAACGTTTATACGTTCAACGAAGAAAGTCTCAAGGAAGGAGCTTGAATATGAAATAGTTCGAAAGAAGTTTTTGTTCGAATTAAATTATCATAAAAACAGTGCTTTCGAAAATTTAAAAGAGTAAGTATTTATACGTAACTGTGTATCGTTATTTCTTTCATTCAGGATTGAATTAAAACATAAAAAGAAGTGGAGAGTAAGAGAAACCGGGAATTACGGTATTGGTCCTTCGCTGGAGGACATTATCAAGAGAATTGAGAAAGAAGAGGAAAGTGAAAGAGATAAGTATGTTTGATAATAACTTTATATTGGAAAACTAACCATTTTTTAGAATGGAAGCAGAGCTCTCGGCTCTGTTCGCGAAAACCGTCGGAACTGCCGACAAGATAGAGGGAGAAAGCAAAGGGATTTTGCATAAGATTGGGGCCTGGTGGGCCATTTGGGTGCTGGCCTTCGGCACCCTTTTCAGATCCTACTTGGAGATGAAGGTATAATAAACTTTGTATTATCATAATTATTCTATTACTTACTTTCAGATTCAGAAAAAAATTTCATATCTTTCCATTCTGATTTCCATTCTTGTTCGTTTGTTTTGCTGTATTCAGATATGCTGCGCAGAGCTTTTCTTCGAAACCCCTGGAACTTCCGACATGCCACTAAGAGTTCTTCAAGGAAAGAACTTGAATATAAATTGGTTGAGAAAGTTTTCTTGAGACGATTGGATGCCCAAAAGAAAGAAGCTCAGGAGAATTTGAAATTGTAAGTATTTGTCGATATCTGGGTGTCATCACTTCTTCATTTCAGAATCGAATGAGAATTTTTAAAAAACAATTCCGAGCTGATGAAGATCGATAATATCCGTCAAAAACTCAAATTTTTAATGTGGAATCTCTTTATACGAACTTTAACTATTGCAATCCCAGTGTCTGTAATTTATGCATACTTTTATATTACCATGTGCAATGAAATGAAGATGGAGAATAAAGAGAACTGCTGACTAAAACTGTATTACTCTTTCTTAGTAGTGCGTTGATACGCATGAACAGAATCAGGACCAAAAATAGAGAGGACAGCAATGCAAAAGAAGGTAACAGTAACGGCGTTAAAATGATATTTGATCGATATTAAGGTTCGTTAGAAAAATGACTTTTAAAAAAAAGAAAAAAAACTGATCAGCAGTATGATCAATCTACAACTTAATTTGTCAGTTATTTGATCTCTTAAACACAGAAAATTAATGAAAAACTGCAAAACTGTTAGAATCATCTCACTTATTTTAAAGATCCCCTCTAGACATTAAACATCATTGTTAGAATTTTATATTTTTTTCTATAATAAATGTGTTTAGATAATGAGGAAACTCATCAGGAATTCGGCGAAAGTTGTCGATTTGGCTTCTGTAAGTCTTTTAACCTTTTGCACTCAATCTTCCTATTTTTAGTATAAGAAGCATTTGTTTTCTCCTTCTTTGGAGGAAGTTGTTAAGAATTATCAGAAAGAGGTGGAGTTGGAAAGTAAGAGGTATGTTTGAATTTATTTTTAAATCGAAAAATTTAGTTGTAAGGTCAAGCTCTCGGCTTTGTACGCCAAGGTATTGGGTACAGTGGAGAAAGCGGAAGAAGGTAAGGGAATGAGCCACAAGGTCACGACCTGGTGGGGCATTGGGGCCCTTTCTTTCGGAATATTAATCCGGTTTGTTTTAAAACAAACGGTATAATGAACTTTGTGCTTTTACTTTTATTATATTATTTACCTTCAGATGGAGGGGAAGCCGGACAAAGAAACTCGTTTAGAGTAAAGTTTTTTCTATTTGTAATAAAAGAGTATTAGTGAATTTTCTTGTTTTTTTTTTGTGAAAGCGATGTCATTACTCCAGTTACGAGACACAACAGACAACAATCTATAAAGAAGAATCAATTAGGATAATCCATTACTGAGAATAAAAAACGAAGAGTAAAGATAAAGCTCCTTTCCCTAGCCTAATGCTTAAAAGTGCAAAATAC